TGGATAGCAACCAAGCTATAAACTATGAAAATATTATTTAACTCCAATCCCTATGGATAGGATATTATATTATACTATATTCGACTAGCGAGCATATTTAAGTGCGTATTTTGTGCTGGTCAACGGACAAGCGGAATCAACCAACAAGGTAATTATTCAAAACCTTAGGAAGAAGTTAGAAGGTGCTAAGGGCAAGTGGTTCGATGAGCTACCGGGGGTAATATAGGAATATCAGACAAAAGCGAAGTCGAGCACGGGAGAAACACCCTTCTCACTCGTGTACGCTGCGGAGTCTCTAATACTAGTAGAAGTGAGGGAGCCAACTTTAAGGTTTTCCCGAACAAACGAAGAGGCAAAAAATGAAGCGTTGTTAGTAAAGCTGGACTTGCTCAACGAACACATGGACTTGGCGTACGTAAGGATGGTGGATCAAAAGCAAAGGATAAAAAGATATCATAATCGCAGGGCCAATCTCCGCTATTTCAAAGTAGGAGATTTGGTTTTGAGGAAGGTGACTCAAAGCACTCAAGAAGTCAACGCTGGGAAGCTGGGACCAACATGGGAAGGTCCTTACCGGGTTTCAGCTATCACCGATAAGAGATCATATGAGTTGAAAAATCAAGATGGAGTTAAATTACCCAGCAATTGGAACGTGAATTAGCTCAAAAGGTATTATTGCTAATGGATCCTGCCAGTACAAAAAATATGTGATGTACTTTTTTTTCCCTTCGATAAGTTTTTGTCCCAATCGGATTTTTCTGGCAAGTTTTTAACGAGGCAGCAACGGAAAGCATACTACGAAGGAAGCGTCATTGGTGAAGGAAAGACCTGTAAATATCATAGCACTGAAATTTTCATTATTAAAAAAGGATTATTTAACTATTAACAAGTTGTTTCCACCAGTGAAGCTGCAATCTGGGTACAAGAATTCCAGTGCTCGAATTCGCATGCTTCGTATTTGAACACTGGGGGGAATAAATATCTGATACGGCACTAGAAATGCCACGAAAGCCTGGACTGCGAGAACCGGGATCAATATTTTATCAGGACCGGAGACTACATGATCAACCCCGTAGAAATAAGTTGTACAAGTTAGCCACATGTATTGGCAGCTTTATTTACTTAAGCAAACGAATGCCTATGTACTTTTAAAAATAGAGGGAATAAAACAAAGTTCTTTTATTTTTATCTTGATTCTTATCCAAATGATGAGTTAATTTTATCGCTAGAAAGTTAACAAAAACTTCAAATGCTTGTGCTAGAATGAACATGATACTTCCTCTTTAAGAGCACCATAAACATAAGGTCCCTCTCTTATGAGACCCTCATAGTAAAGGGAAGGTTCCGGAAGAATTTATGCCCGGAATCAAAAGCTATGGGTTGAAAAAATATACCTGAAGCTTTAATCAACTAAACATAAAAGGAATATTTTTGCACAACACTTAAGCAAATTTTTTTTTTATTATCAGGTACTGAACTTGATGAAAAGTTTGGCATAATTACAAAATATAAAAACATTATACATCATTGCCGCTAGAACCCGAAGGAAGAGAAGGATCTACGTTTCCCCTGTAGAGGAAGGCGGATTCACCAACGCTTCAGGGCCTTCATCTTCTTCAGTCTCCCTTTCGTTTTCCGAATACACGGAATCATTATTTGAGGAGTCAGTCACAGTGGGCCGAGCAGGAAGTTTTCACGAGCGGATAACTCCAGTTCCTGGGCCTGGGCAATGCAATCGTTTATGTTGGCGATGACCACTTTGGCCTCCTCCAAGGTCTTCATCTTCATATGATATATGGCATAGGTCTTCTCGAAGACAAGGGAATCCTCTTGAACTTGGAGTTTTGCTCGAAGTTTATTGTTTTCGGCCTGGAGCTCTTCTCTTTCGGACTTCATGGCATGGAGGCGGGAGTCAAGCTCAACATTTGTAGTTGAGTGAAGCCAATTTTGCTCCATGGCCCTCTTAAGCCTCTCTTCCATTCGGGCACTCTTCTTCTCGGCAGCATTGGCCTCCTCGGTTTTGGAGCATAAGTTGGACTTCAAGTTATTGATTTTCTCCTGGAAGGTAGACTCGCGCTCAGTAGCGGCAATGGCAGCATCGTGACATTCGGCCCACTTTGCCTTAGCTTCTTCAAACTTTTCATATAATTGAGTAGCTTATTGGCTGTGGAACTTTCCCGTCAAGCAAGAAATCTTCACCTACTTCCCGGTAACACTAAGTTGCATTATCGAAAAAGTAGGGGGACTATCTGTATGTAGTAAAATTGGTTGATAACAAGTGGTCAAATGGTAAGACGACACGTGGAGTCGAAGATAGACAAAGGACGAGTCGAAAAATAATTAGTACTGAATGCGACGTGTGTGACCGGTATCAGATGGATTCCGAAGGGAATGTAGCCGGCAGTAGAAGTTCAAAGATTCGCCATCGGACAACATTTAATAAGGGAATATTTGCTAGCGTTAAATGAGAAGCCATTACAGAGAATATTTGCATTCAAGGCTTGCCGTTACATATTCAGCAATGATACTTTTATTCTTATTTATAGAGGAGCTTGGTCCTAGTATCTTGTTTCCCTAGGTAGAACTATAAATAGTGGGGTTAACACAATTGTAAGGACACAAAACACTCTATACGCAAAAGCCATACTTTACTATTTAGCTCTCATACTTTACTATTTAGATCTCACTTTCACAACTTCATCATTGCTTTATCTTTACTTTCACTTTTGTTCTTGGAAAGGCTGAGTTCGGAACCAGGCTTGTTATCTTCTTTAATTTCAATCGCTAAATCTTAACTTCAATTTTATTTCTTTATCGTTTTTGGGTCAAATCAATTCGCTTGTCTTAAACCACATTACAAATTCAACTGTACCATTTTACGGTTAAATAATATGCACATTTGTTTTAAGATCACAAGATTCACATTTTATTCTTAAATTCTATGCCCCTACAAACTAACTGATGTTAGGCAAAAATGCCATACTTTTAGTAATTACTAGCCTTACATGTTGTTAGTTTAGTGGTTAATTGTGCGACGTTTGAGCTAAATTATATTATTTTATATGTAGGAGTATCGGAAAATAAAGACGAGTGAAGATTGCATAAAAAGAGGACGAAAATGCAAGAAAAGAGCACAAAAATGCCAAGTACCAAAATCGTGCTACAGATTAGGCTTCGCGAGGTCTATAGCCAGCTTGACCGCGCTACAGACCAGGCTTCGCGAGGTCTATAACCATCTTGACCGTGATACAGACCAGGCTTCGTGAGGTCTATAGTCAGGTTGAGCGCATTATAAGCCTGACTTCGCGAGGTCTACAGCCCAGGAATTAAAAGTCGCGGGTGAAAAGTCTCCAACCCGGATTTGGACTCAAGGACTTCAACCCTAGCCTATAAATACTCCCTAAACATGTCTAAGAGAAGGGGAGGATTTTTTTAGAGCAGATTCGACCTAAAGGGGAGACGTTTTTGGAGAGGCGATTCGACCCAAGGAGGCAAGAACACGCTAGGAGCAAGGCAGAGAATTCTTCTGCGAGTTTTTCACTTTTTTCTTCCTATTTCCATTATTGGTTATGAATTCTAGTATTGTAATTTTGGATACTATTATGAATAGCTAATTTGTTATCTAGGATTTTGATGAAACCTTTTGTAGGATGAATTCTTGTTATGTTTTTATATAACTGAGTCGTTGGATTTCTCTACTTGTTCAACTACGTATTTATTGCTATTGATTGAATGGCCATCAATTGACTGCACCTATTTAGTATGTATATTGCTCGAGAGAGAGTACACATTTGGGTAGTTGTTAAACAACATCACTCCTAACGTATATGAGAGATCAATACGGAGGGTTTAAAGGCAGGATTAAAGATAACAAAACCTTGGAACGATCGTAATGAGCGGTGAATTAGTGCCAGCTAGCGTAGTTCGAGAGAATGCGTCTAGTAAATTGTGATAGTTGCTCGAGAGAGAGCTACAACACCCAAAGTACTCACGATCGGTAGAGAATACTTAGGCGAAATTATAGAAGATGTAGCAGGAAGGATTCCGACAATTGGAAAAATCATAACTCTAGGCCTCCTTAATCTTTTCTCCAACCCTTAATATCTTTAGTTGTTAATCTAGTACTTTAATTTGTTAGTTAATTAGATATAAGAATCTTAATATTTATAACTTAGGAATTGTTCGAGCTTGTCTTCTTAGTGATAGTAAACAATTATAGCTAAACCTTAATTTTTTGTGGGATTCGACTCCGGACTCTTAGACCGGATTATATTTATAACGACCGCTTATCCTTTTTAGGACTAGAGTTGGGCGTGATCACTGACACACATAAAGTTAAATAGGAGAGTGATTTAAAAAGTTAATTTTTCTTAATGTTTTATTTTATTTTATGTGCTATCTCTTTTGGATGAGGCGAGTGGCCTAATGAAGTTGAATAAAGGACGTTCTTCTGTGAGATTGAACCTTACATCTAAGTGATGCAGGTTATTGAAAAGGATAATATCATTCTTCTAGTTGAAGTAAAAGAAACGGAGGTTCATCTCCTCGTCAGTTAGCTACAGTTGGCAAGTAGATTACCATGAAGGACTTAAAATTATGTCGATAAACCATTCTAATTAAAGCATAAGAACCCCTTAATTTCAGTTCTCTCTTTTGCATTAGCGTTTGACATTCTCTATAGGAAGTGGAGTTTGTCTTGTAATTAGCATTTCGCTTTCAGTGCTGTCAATGATGCTCGGTATTCAGGTCAAATCTCATTTAGGACTGACATTCTCTATATATTTTCTTGTCCTAAATATGAACAAAGACCGTCATTTTATGGAGGAGTTTGCAACTTTCATTAATAACAATAGTAAACCGTGCAGACGTCCTTCTGTAAAACGTCTAACAATTAAGCTATGAAAAAATGAACATTAAGCTGATTGAATGGAATGAACAGACAAGCAAATAATACATTCCCTCAGAACAACAGTAGAAAGGATATGAATACAAGACAATAGTGAAAATCAAGAACACAACATTGACATTTAACAACAAATGCGAAACAATCTCGCAACAATATTAGAGCTACATCTTACATATAGGACGGATGAATAAATCACAAACCCTAAATTAATACAAACCAATTAATGCAATTGACTTCCTTGTTGATGAAGAACAATATAAACAAGAAGAAAGAAAAAGAAAAGATGAAAAAGTCATAATACGTGCAAATGTCTTTGATCAAACTATTTAGGAGATAAGACGTGAGTGCATTAGCTCCAGATTAAGTTTTCTCATATACAAAAGGCTAGCTGATTCCTTTGTAGATATCTACATTCTAAATTTCCAAATGTAATTTGGATAGACCATTTCTTGAAGCAATCAAATGCTTTAATTTGTTCTTCTTATTTTAAAAGAGTATGTCAATTTGAACTCAAAGAAGCAAATCCACCACGTTTCATCATTTGTCTAAATTCCTTATAATCAACCATTCCATCACCATCCACATCAACTTTCATGATCATTCTCTTGCAATCTTCAAGTGTTCTTCCTTGTTTCAAACCCAACGATGACAAAACGGATCTCAATTCCTCCACAGTTATGAATCCGTCGCCATTTTGATCGAACACGTTGAAAGCTTCCCTCATGTCTTCCTCTTCGTCCCTCTCGTCCATTATCGACTGATACAATGTCCCGAATTCCTCCATGTCTACGTAACCATCTCCGTTTACGTCAATCTTTTCGATCATTTGCACCAGTTCTATTTCAGGAATGTAAATTCCCAAATTCTGCAATGAATCGCTTAGCTCCTTCCTAGTAATTTTTCCATCTCCATTTCGATCAAACATATGAAAAACTCTACGTAGCTCTGCTGGATCCATTTCTTGGATAAAACGTACAGCCCAAACCAAATAAATGTAACAAGAAAATCAATGAATACCCACCCTTCTAGTTTTTCTTTTTCAGAAAGGAAACAGGAAAATTCAAGGTGATTTACAATCTTAATTTACTTGAATTGAAAAAGGGAAGAAAAAGAGAAAGAGAAAAGGGGTTACAAGTTTGTTGAGAAAATACGGATCCAATTAACTGGGGAAAAGGTTTAGAGAAGATGTTAATATACAGAAAAAGGAAGAAAATTGAAGGTGGAGAAAAGGAGGATGGTTTTGAGGATAGCCACTAATATCGTTAAATAACTGATTTAGAATTTGCTCGGAATTGTTTGAGATTTTTGCTTTAAGATTGACATCTAGATGATCAGACCTCTTCTTCTAGTTATAATAATCAGTTTAAGTACTTATCATATAAACACATTAGGAAATTAAGTTGAGGAATATTTAAGGAATGGATTCTGGTTGGCATCTTTGAAAGAGTGTAACTATGGAACTTGGAACTTGGATGTATATATTTTAGACGTGAGGTGACGTCTTTGATGTATTGAAAGTTGAAATTGTATTTTAACGTTAATTTGACTTGAAAAAAAATAATGTTGATTATTTGATAGAATAAAATTCATTATTTCACTTTATCTATTTCTCAAACAGATTTTTTAAATATATTACTAATAATTCAAATATTAAAGTCCATTTTCTGCAAATACAGTTAATCAAAAAATATTTGGAGCTTCATGTTGTTTGACCAAAGAGTATGACTTTCGGTTAAACCTTTATTTTTATATAATGATGGGTTAAACCTAGTTAATAATAATATTCCTAAACGTGGATCTTGAAATTACGGTAATATGGGGCTGATCTAGTGGGGGATTAATAATATCGTGCATTAAATACTCCAAAAGTATGAACAATAATGGAGGAGTAACTAGCAATAAATAATAATAAATGACATTTAAGTAAATAGAAGGAATGATTCACTCAATAATAAATGAGTTAGATGATTGTTCCTCCTGACAATGATGCGTGACAGATAACTCCGAGAATATTCGAACTATTCTCGTATTTGATGGAAAAACATGGAATAATATGAGCAAAAATATTAATAAAAAAGTAATGTTTGTATCTTTGCTAGAGAGATAGAGAATCTTCTTCTAAAAAGTGTTCTTGTCAAGTGAATATTACATGTCTTTCTTCCTTATCTTTTTTATTTATTTATTAGAGATATGTCTCTAACAAACCCTAATAGTACAAGTGCAGAGAATATTTACTAGAATATTCTCTTTCATATCCTATTTCAAAAACTAGCCGTTACTATTCTGTCAACGGTGCTCGACCTCGGTCATTGTTGACATCTCGACCACGAATCTCGCTGCTCCTTGGCCGACCTCGACTGACTCTTTCCTTATTGCTATATTACCCTAAATATTCTATGGCATATTTTGACCTATACAGTTAGTCCCTCCGCTTATTGAGACTCGACTCAGACGGGCTCGATGAGGGATATTGTGTAACATGGTCGATGTGTTTAGACGACCTGAACGAGTCATGATGATTAGGGCGAGTTGGCAGCGTATCCCTTTGTGAACTATAACCTCTGGGGTTATATGTCCCACATATCAGGATGAGGTCATGGCGACAAACGTCATTACGACGCGATTTCCCGATACGTTGCTTCGTTTCGCGCGCGTCTTCTGATTGAATCTGCTGCTTCGGTTATAGTGCTAGGTGATGATGGATTAATTTGTTGGTTTCGACGCTTAAATTTTTATAAATAGGGGTGTGTGGGTAACGTTTCAATCTTTACAAAACCCTTGCATCAGAAAACTCTGTTTCTTCTTCTTCTTCTTCTCCCATTGTTTTGTATCTTCTTATCAAAATCCCTTGCCTCATTCTTCTTCCTCAATTGCCGCATATCTTCTTACTGCTTTTAGTGATTCTCGCTGCTTCTAACACTTGCTTGCTCAAATATCCTCCCTTAATCAATATGGCTAGTGTACCCTTTGTTTCCGGTATGACAACTGACCATGTCCCTTTGGCGGTGCTTATACCCCCTCACGCTGATAGGGCCTCAGTCGCCATTGAGGAAGAGAATTTTCCTACGGTGGAGGAAATAATCCCTCGTAGTGAGAAAGTAAGGTCCGATTTTTTGAAGGCGCCTGAAGGTGAGCCCGAAGTCTTGGAGTCAGTGATGGAAGAGGCCGATCTGGCCGAGCTTAGGGCAAAATTCAACATTCCTGCCCACATCAATCTAGTCCGAGCAGGGCGCGATGTGTGCAAATCCACCGCCCCGGATATTACGCGTTCTATGCATATCCTTTCCAGGTCGACTATACTCTCCCCCGTCTCCTATTGGCGGAGAAATTTTGCCGTTATTACGGTTTCTGCTCGGCCCAACTCTCTCCATATATTTACAAGCTTATCAGGATGCTCTCAAAATTCGCCGAGTTGGCCGGGGTCGAGGTCACACTCCGACATCTGATGCATCTCTTCGCCCTTAGCTTTTATAGAGGAACGATGTTGCATCTTTACCAAGTAAATGCATGGTGGTGGTGATGAACGACAAAGAAAATCATCAGTTCTGGCTCAACTACTTTTTGTCAGAACCGAAGACGTGGTAGCCAACGCGGACGGTTTTCCTGAGACTTGGAATCATGCTCGTAAGTATCCATTTTTTGTGAAAGGTATTTGATTTGTCTATTTCTAGTCGTAGGCTCTAACATTTTGTCTCTTCCTCGTGCAGACAAGGTTGTGCCTCCTCCTTTGGTTGGGAACATTTTCGATTGGGTTGGCCGGATTCTGCCTCATACTATGGGGATTCATGAGTGGCCGGGCTTTCTCAAGAAGTTCGGGCCTGCTTCTTCCTTGGCCGGTGAGTTCATCTATTTTTTTGTTTGTTTTCTGTTTTGACTGCATGGTCTCTTGCACGCTATAGTTTATTATCGGTAGTGACAATCTTCGATCTCACTTTTTTGGTTCGAGGATCTTTGAGGAGGCCGATGGCTCCTCCTCCTGCGTTTCGTAAGAGGAAGAATGCTTTTTCTTCGGAGTCTATTCCTGCTGTGACAGCGGCTAGGCCTGCTCGGTCATATGCTTCTGTTTGTTCTTCTGTCGCGGCCAGGTCTACTCGTTCGTCGGCCACACCTACTGCTGCTTCCTTACCGGCTTCTTCTCTGCCCGTGGATATATCGACAGCGGAGCTTCCGGCTTCCCCTTTGCTTCATCTAGTGGACGAGGAAGAGGAATCATCGCCGAGTGATGGGAATTTTGTTCCCCGTAAGAGAAGATCGGTGGACGTCGGTGATGGGGTTGCCCGGGTGGTGGATTCAGTAAGGGGCGATTTTGTCATCCGTGAAATAGCGACCATAGAGCTTGAAGATGACACCGAGTTATCGCCTGTGGTTCTTCCATCGACTGAAGTCATAGAGGGTATGTCTCTTCCTGAAACCATGATGGAAGCTGAAGGACCATCGACGAGAGTCTCTGATAATTTGCGGCAAGATGAGCCATCAGTCTTGCGACCGACTGAGGGTCCCTCTTTGCTGGCCTACATAAAAGGAAAGTGCGTAGCCGAGGATGGTTATGAGACGGGATCTGATGTTGATGTCGATGAGGTGAGGATGATGGGGGAGGGATTTACCTGACTCGAAGTAAGATTGGAGGGGTCCACGTGGACCATTGCGATCCTCATGGATCGAGATTTGTTGGTTAACATGGAGAACGTGGTCCCGTCCCTTGGTCCCCTCTATTCCGATGTGGAAGGTAAAAACCTTGAAAAGCTGGATGACGCTACCTTATCTAGGAGCATAGCCGGCCTCGCTCTCAGGGTAAGCTTTCCGACCTCTTTCATTTTTGTTTGTCGAGTTCAAAGTTTGTTTCGTTCTTACTCTTCATTTTTTTTTTCTCTCTTTCAGACTGTGATTTTGGAAATTGAAAGCACCCGAAGAGAAGAGAGGCGTAAGGCTATTTTTCTGAAGATGGAGCAAAAATACCGCGAGTATCATGGTAAGTATCGCGAAATTTATAGGTGGTTTGGCAAGGGCGGCAATTTCCAAGCTCTCTGAGATGAGCTGAAGGAAAAGGATGACGAGCTGCTGAAGGTCATCAAAAAATATAGCGTTCTTGCGGGGGAGCTAAGGGACAAAGAAGAGGAGCTGGAGGTTAGCAGGGGGGTCGAAGCACAGTGCGGCGATCTCCAAGCCTAGGTGGTCGCGTTGCGCGCCGAGGTCGAGGACTGTGAATTTAAAGCTGATTCTTTAAGTGGCGAGGTCACCGAGAAGGTAGCAGATCTCGAGAAGGCAGAGTTAGCTCGGTCGGGGGCTATGAGGAAGGCGGAGGCTTTGGAGATTGTAATTCGTGTTCTTCGTTCTGACTGAGAGAATGCCTTGGAGACAGCCAGACTCAAAGAAGAGCGGCTTGATGAACGGATTGGAGAATTGGAGAAAGAGGCTTCTGGCCTTTGTGATCGAGGCGGTGCTCTGGAGGCCGAGAAGGCACCACTATTGGCTCGACCATCTTCTTCCCGTGTTTCTAATTTTTCTAATATTCCTCGAGATTTATACGAGGAGTGGATTCACGCCGAGGCACAGCTGGATATATTCAGAGATCTGATGAGGGCGGGAACCGTTTCGAAAACCGTCCTCAAGGATTCTCGTGTTAAGGCACATGGAGATCGGGTCGATTGTGGCTACGATCCTGCTACATTGGAGGTCGGTGACGATGAGGAGGATGCGAGGGTGGATCAGATTGAAGAGGATTCCTGGTATGAGGATGAGTATCCTGATGGCGATGGTGATGGTGAAGGGGCGGATAGGGATGGCCTAGGCGATCAGGCCGATGGCGTTGCTGGGACAGGCGGCGATTAGTAGATTTTCTTTTCCTTTTTTTGTTTTGTGGGCGTCTTCTCGAGCCTTTGTAAAATATATTCTAAGTATGAAATACCAGTTTTGTTATTTGTACTTGGTTCTTTCTTCTCATATTTGAGTTTGTATGTTTTTTGATTTTGTTGCTTGGTGCCTTGGTTTTCTTAGTCGTAATAACTTAGCTCGAGTAGTGTCGAACGAGATCGAAAAATAACTTAGGTTTGATCATGGTCGAGGTCCAGTAGATGTTAGTTCGAACGAGGTCGAGCATATCGTATGTTTATTTATAGCCGATGGCCGATTAGGTATTGATTCGAATGAGGTCGAATGTAACCTATACATAGTTAGGGCCGAGGGCCGATTAGGTATTAATTCGAACGAGGTCGAATATAACCTATGCTTAGTTATGGCCAAGGGCTGATTAGGTGTTGATTCGAACGAGGTTGAATATAACCTATGCTTGATTATGGCCGACGACCGATTAGGTGTGGCATTTGTTGGTGGTATGAATTTAAGGCAAACGTTGCTTTGGTTGTACATTTGGAGAAAATGGAAATAAACTTCATGCATTTGTGCTTTGTTCATACACTTGGATAAATTTACATATTTTCCGGGCTTTGGCTGGCATTTTAGTCCCAGTCCCAGTCTATCTAGTCCCTTTATTGGTCGACCTGGAAAAGTATTGAGAGGTCGAGCAATGAACTAGTCGTCCAGTGCCTTCGTATGTATGCACTTCAATCCTGAAGTATCCCCTTCATCGCCTCATTAAAAACCTCCTCGAAAACACCCAATTGGGACAAAACTCAAGTGAGGGAAAAAAGAGTACTACTTTGGGGACACCATATTTTAAAAGTTGAAGTACTTGAGGTGTGTAATATTCCAGTTGTTTGGTAGTCGCTTTCCTTCCATTGTTTCTAGTTGGAATGACCCTTTGTACGATGTTGCCGTGATTTTGTACGGGCCGTCCCAATTTGTTCCTAGTTTGCCTTCCCGCGGGTCTTTGCTTGCTTCTGTTTTAGCTTTAAGTATGTAGTCCCCGACTTTGAGTGGCCTGATCCTTGCCTTTTTGTTATAATAGCGTTATGCCTGTTGCTTTTGGGTGACCATTCTTACGTAGGCCATATCTCTTCGTTCCTCGACTTTGTCGAGCTCCTGCATTCTATTGTCATCGTTCCGGGGTCTGCTCTGGTGGGAGTATCTTAGGATGGGCTCCCCGACCTCGACCGGTATTACTGCATCATTCCCATAGACTAATGAGTATGGCGTCTCTCCTGTGCTCGTCTTTGGCATTGTTCGGTAGGCCCAGAGTACTTCTGGTAATATTTTCGACCACCGTCCTTTGGCGTCTTCGAGTTTCTTCTTCATGATGTTCAATATCGACTTATTGGAGGATTCTGCTAGCCCATTGCCCGCGAGATGGTATGGCGTTGAGAGTATTCTTTTGATATGCCATTTTTTTTAAAAACTCAATGACCTTTTTTCTCGCAAACTAGAGTCCGTTGTCATAGCTGATCTCTTTGGGGAGACCGAAATGGCATATGATATTTTTCCATATAAAGGCGATCATTTCCTGTTCGCGTATTTAGGCGAATTCTCCTGCTTCTGCCCAATTAGAGAAATAGTCAGTTAAAACCAAAAGAAATTGTACGTTACCTCGTCACGCCGGAAGGGGGCCCACGATGTCCATTCCCCATTTGATGAATGGCCAAGAGGAAGTCACTGAGTGTAGGTGTTCGCCTGCTTGGTGAATCATTGGGGCATACTTCTGGCATTGCTCGCATTTTTTCACTAAATATGCGGTCTTCTTTATCATGGTGGGCCAGTAATACCCTGCCCGTATGAGGCATCTGACCAAAGCTCGATTGTCGGAGTGAGCTCTACAGTGGCCTTCGTATACTTCTTCAAGGGCGCGCCGCATCTGATTTGGGCCTAAGCATTTCGCTAGAGGGCCGCCATACGTTCTCTTGTATAGGTCGTTATGAATGATGTTGTATCTCGTTGCTTACATTCGGAACTTCTTGGCCTTTTTTTTATCATCTGGGAGTACGCCATCCTGCAGATATGTAAAAATACGGTTGCGCCAATCCTAAGTCAAGTTTATGGTTCTTACCTCGATTTGATCTATCGATGAGTTGGGGAGGTGGACCACATTTCTTTCTCCGGTTATAATGTTTTTGGTGGCTGCGGCTAATTTGGCGAGACTGTCTGCCTCGGTATTCTGTGCTCGGGGGATCTGGTCAAGTTGACATTCGTCGAACTCAGGTAGCAGTCTGCAGATTTCGGTCTGGTACTTTTGTAACCTTTGTTCCTTGATTTGGAAAGTCCCTGTCACTTGGTTGACCAAGAGTCGAGAATCATAACGCAATCTTAGTCGCTTCGCCCCATATTTGAGTGCTAGTCTTAATCCTGCAGTTACGGCCTCATACTCGGCCTCGTTGTTAGTCATGTCGGGGCATTTTATGGACTGGCGAATCACTTCGCCTGTTGGGACTTCGAGTATGAGTCCCAGCCCAGACCCTGACATATTAGACGCGCCATCAGTGTACAGGACCCGGAGGTCTTGTGTTTGGGGAGAAGAGTGGACGGATTCTTTTCGACTTCGGGCATTATTTTGGCACTGAAGTTGGCGAGGACCTGCGACTTTATCATCGTTCGCGGCCGATATGTGATATCGTGCTCGCTCAATTTGATGGCCCATTTGGCCAACCTGCCCAACAACTCAGGTTTATGCAAAATGCTTTTTAAGGGGAAAGTCGTGACGACTGATATGGGGTGGCATTGGAAATATAGTCTAAGCTTTCGTGAAGCTACGACTAAGGCTAGAGCCAGGTTTTTGAGATGGGGGTATTTTGTCTCGGAGTCGACTAGTGTTTTGCTAATGTAATAGATGGGAGATTGCGTACCTTTATTTTCTCGGACCAGGACCACGCTCACAGCTACTTCGAACACGGTAAGATAGACGAGGAGGGGTTGTCCCGGTTCTGGTTTCGAAAGCAATGGTGGCAATGACAAGTACACCTTTAACTCATTCAGGGCTTGGACGCACTTAGGGGTCTATTGGAGGTCGTTATCCTTTTTTAGTACGCCGAAGAACTTATGGCACCTACCAGAGGATGGCAAAATGAACCTTGAAAGGGCGGAGATACGACCAGCTAAACTCTGAACCTGTTTTTTGGTTGTCAAGTACTCTGGTATCCCTTCGATGGCCTTGATTTGGTCGGGATTGACCTCGATACCTCGTTGTGACACTAGGAAACCCAAAATTTTTCCTGAGGTCAGGCCGAATGCACATTTTTTGGGGTTCAGTTTCTTTCTGTATTACTTGAATTCCATTTGGTATGCCCTAATACAAGTGGTCAATGTGATCTTCTTTCCTTTTGGATTTGTCCAGCATGTCATCCATGTAGACTTCCATCGTTTTATCGAGTTGATCTTCGAACATCTTCGTCACCAACCTTTGATAAGTTACCCCTGCATTTTTCAGCCCGAAGGGCATGACCCTGTAGCAGTACGTCCCCTGGTGGGTGATGAAGGTGATTTTTTCATAATCCTCTTCCTCCATAAGGATCTGATTATAGCCCGAGTAGGTATCCAAGAAGCTTAGCAGTTCGTGCCTAGCCGTTGGTTGATGAGTTGGTCGATATGGGGTAATGGAAATGAATCCTTAGGGTAAGCTTTGGTTAGTGAAATTTATGCACATACGCCATTTTCCGTTCTTCTTTTTCACCGTGACTACATTGGTGACCCATTGGGGGTACTTCGACTCCTTGACGGAGCCATTTTCCAACAATTTTTCCACTTTTTTACATACTGCATCATTAATTGCGAAGTTGAACTTATGCCTAACCTGCCTCACCGGGGGTGGAATGGATCGACGTTCAATTTGTGAGTGACGATCTCCTTTGGGATACCTGGCATATATGCATGTCTAAAAGCAAACAAGTCCGCGTTAGCAGTTAAAAATTCACGAAACTTACCTGGTTCCTGAAGTTTGTTGCCGATGTAACCTTTCTTGTTGTGGTCGTTGCTGTCTAACTGAACGGGGTCGAGGTTCTCTATAGTAGATCCTGCCTGCGGCCTCGACCATATCGGGGTCTTTGATGACGTCCTCGTTGTCATCGCACATCAACCTCGACCTTGTTGATTGCTGAATTCCTCTTTTTCTTTATCCTTGGTTTGTTGGGTGGTTGTACAGTCTAAGGCGATGCGGTAGCATTCCTGGGACGTGCGTTGTTCCCCTCGTATACTGAATATTTCCCATGGAGTTGGGAATTTGATGACTTGGTACAAGCTGGAGGGGATGACTCTCATGGTGTGTATCCATGGTCGCCTTGTTATGGCGTTGTATCAGTGTCCTGGTCCATGATATGGAATGTGGTTTCCAGAGTGACGCCACCTACTAGGACGGGGAGTGTAATCTCGTTGGATGTTCGCTCAATGAGTTTCATTTGTGCAAGTACTCGGGATTGGATAATGCACGCGCCTTTCCCATCGTCTACCATAATCCGTCTCACATCGGTATCTAAAATTCGTAAAGTGATAACAAGAGAATCATAGTGAGGGAAGGCCAAACCGTTGGTATCCGACTTATCAAAGATGTTACTTTCTTCGAGTTCATCATACCGTTCATGGGTGATCGACCGTTTGAGCTTGTAGGTTGTGGTGAACTTCACACTGTTGATGGAGGCGTCGTCCCTGCCACCGATGATCATGTGGATGGTGCGGGTCGGCGAGGGCGGTTTCGGTGGCCCTTGATATTGTTCACGTCCTCTAGAAAAGATGGTCCTTCCCCGATCGCTCAGCAATTCTTTGAGGTGACCCTGTCGTAGCATGTTTACGACCTCCTGTCATACCGCGATGCAATCTTCTGTTTTGTTTCCTCGTTCTTGATGGAACTCGCAGAGGGCGTCTGATTTTCTAGTATTCAGGTCTGATCTCATCTTCTGTGGCCACTTCACCTTCGGTCCGAGCTTCTCCAAGGTGTGGACTATCTCTGTAGGCAACACACAAAAATTGTGAGCGGATAATAAAGGGGCATACCTCTCTCATTCAGGTGAGTCCTTGTTCTTGATCGGGGTGGGCCCTCTTCATGGTGGGATGAGGACGCAGGGGTGGTTCTGACATATGGGAGATGTCATTCCCATTTAGGTCGCGAGTCCGCGAGATCTCTTCTGATATTATTTCTTCGATTTTTCCTGGATTCTGCTTGCACCGAGGTCAGTCGATGGGTCAGCCCATTGAGGCCGTCCTCGTCTGCTCGGACTTCGGCGCAATATACGTTATGTATTTCGTCTCAAGTCATTGGGGGTACTCTATAAGCCGACTTAATAATTTTCTTGTTGCCCTTGAACCATTTCTGCTCAGCCCATTTTGGAAAGCTGCGATAGCCATCCCTTCCGATACATTCGGTAAGGTCATTCTTACTCGGTTGAATCGGGCAAGGAAGTCCCTTACCCCCTCTCCCAGCGACTGTTTGATAGCGAATATGTCGTTTACTCTCGCCTCTGCCTTCTTGGCCCCAGCATGGGCCGTTACGAACTTGTCGACCATTTTTTTGAATGTTTCAAAGGAACGCGCGGGCAGCTATGAATACCATGTTAATGCTCATCCAATGAGGGTCTCGCCAAACTTTTTCAACAAAATTGAGGATACTTGTTCTTGGCGAGGTCATTGCCTTTTACGGCGGTGACGTAGTGGGTCACATGGTCTTCGGGGTCGGTCGTACCATCATATATCTTCAGGTAGGGCGGCATTTTGAAGGTCTTTGGTATGACATGTGGGGCGGCATCATCGTTGTACGGCTGCTCTACGAACCGACCGGTATCTCTCTTCTGCAAGAGCTTAAGAGTGCCCGGTATTTTATCGACCCTTTCTTGGTGTTCTCTCATTTGGTCCCGAAGTACCTTGTTCTCATTTTTCATTTCCTCCATCCTTTTCATAATGGTCGCGAGAGCGTCGTCACCTGCATTGTTAACAACATTGTGAGTAATACATGTCGTTGCAGGCGGAGGAGGAAGTTGATCATGTTGCTCTTTTGTTGGTGGTATAATGCAAGTCCTTGCGTTTTCTGTAGCCGCGTCCCGAACGGGCTTATGGAGGACGTTGGTTAGCGTATCAGTTAGCCAAGTCTCAAGGAGCTTTTTTACTACCGGTGGCGTCTCTTCCATCACGGATGTGGAGGCTCCCTTACAAAGAGATTTCGTGATGCTACAGTGAGGAGGGGTGACCCGCCTCACCTGGGGGAGGCATTGGGCGTTGTGTCCTCATCCACTACTTCAGAACTCTCATTGATGATGCTCATGAGGCTGGTTGGGAGGTCGCTCATTATTCTCACTCTTTCTTCTCTGCTACCTGTCATATTAGATCTGTGTATACAAAGAAAGGGAATCTTGTTCTTGTTTTTTTTTTTTTACGTTAGCAATCCGCATTAGTTGTAGATCTAGAAGAAACTAAAAGTTTAACTAGAAAATCTCCACAGACGATGCCAAATTGTTTGACCAAAAAGTATGACTTACGGTTAAACCTTTATTTTTATGTAATGATGGGTTAAACCTAGTTAATAATAATATTCCTAAACGTGGATCTTGAAAATACGGATAATATGGGGCTGATCCAGTGGGGGATTAATAATATCGTGCATTAAATACTCCAAAAGTATGAACAATAATGGAGGAGTAACTAGCAATAAATAATAATAAATGACATTTAAGTAAATAGAAGGAATGATTCACTCAATAATGAATGAGTTAGATGATTGTTCCTCGTGACAATGAAGTATGACAGATAACTCCGAGAATGTTCGAACTATTCTCGGATCTGATGGAAAAACTTGGAACAATATGAGCAAGAATGTTGATAAAAAAGTAATATTTGTATCTTTGCTAGAGAGATAGAGAATCTTCTTCTGAAAAGTGTTCTTGTCAAGTGAATATTACATGCCTTTCTTCCTTATCTTTTTTCTTTATTTATTAGAGACATAACTCTAACAAGTGCAGAGAATAATTTCTTTAATATCCTCTTTCAAAAACTAGTCGTTATTGTTCTATCAACGATGCTCGACTTCAGTCATTGTTGACATCTCGACCACAAATTACGCTGCTCCCTGGCCGATCTTGACTGATTCTTTCCTTATTGCTACATTACGTCTAAATATTTTAGGAAAGATTTTGACATATGCATGTCTTGTTGGGATTTTACTGCCGTCGTTGGGGGCAGATGTTATGCAATTCTTGACGGATACAAAGGCAGAAAAGTGAGCAATGGCCCAAATATGTCTCCACCGAACTTAACAATGACTGCTTTGCTGTAAGATCTACGGTATGATAGGTTTACTTGAGTTAAATATTGAGAAATATTTGTTCTTGCCAACTAATCTTAACCGTTCAAACTGATAAATGATAAGTTTCTTCAACAACTAATCAAAAAATATTGATCAAGCTTTTGGAAGGACAAAATCAATTTTTTAGGATTTGAGATGTTTGGACAATACTAAAAAATATGTTTTAATAATTGCAGAAAAAATAGAATCATAAATAGAAACTTAACTTTTACCAGATAAAATTATCTTAGGATAAATTTATATTTATCAAATTATCCATCATTAACTTAACCTTTTTATTTTCTTTAAGCCAAAAGTATTTGTTTGGTTGACCAAGCTTTTGGAAGGGAAAAAACTGTACTTTTTACTAAAAGCAGAAACAGTTTTTGACAAATAGAAAAATTAGTCTTTTTTTAAAAGCACTTTTAAAAAAAAAAAAATACTTCGAGACACATTTTAAAATCTTGGACAAATATTAATTGCTACTAAAAGGCACTCCAAACACAAAATATTTCTCACAAATTAGCTAATTTTAGAGGCTTGGTCAAACAGGCTATTAATTTGGTTTAAATGTGTAATACGTTTCATTTTACTAAATGTGGTATAATACCAAAAACATTTTTGAAAATAATTGCCACATATAATATGAACAACATATTTTGCACCTACCCATAAAAAAATATGACTACGGATTTATATATACAATGAGATTAATTTCTGTCAAGAGACTTTTTGAATTGGATTGGTGAGTTAGCGTATCAATGTAGTAATAAGATTGAGATATAAAGAAACTACTCCGAATTTGTTGTAAAATGATTTATTAAATTAACTTTTTGTTTTGGAATGGTTACTTAACATATCAATGTAGTAATAAGATTGAGATATAAAGAAAATATATAATTTGTAGAACTCCCAATTTGTTGTAAAATAATTTATTAAATTAACTTTCATAAGCTTTTTTTAACTTCAAATAATTTTCTTTAAAGATCAATTCAAATTTTGACCACGTGAAGTCTATATGTATGTATGAACCTAAAATAAAGCAAATTATATATTTAAAACTTATTTATAAGCAGTGTAGTAAATAAAAACTTAAGCTATGATTTAGATGCAATGAGTTTAGTAGTATCAAAACCTAATAATAATTTCCAGTAGTTACGTTATTGTTGTTGACTCCAGTCATAATCATGCTTATGGCAATTTGTATCAAAAGGATTGTCTGTAAAAGACAGGTCCAAATCACAATATTAGTTCAACTCTAAAAATATTCAACCATTGTCATAGTAATTGATATTCTTCGAATAAAGTTATTCCTTATTTAAGATATTTCAAAAAGTTATTTCATGTTTAAATTATAGTAATTATGTTTAATAACTATAAAATAATATACCATATACTAGTAGTAGATTGAACGCATGTCTTATATTAAACTTGTGTACATAATGCTAATAACAGAATCCTTTTTGCTCTAAAAAATTCTCGTGTTCATATCTTTCTATATGATCCACTAGATTGTATTCATTTTTCCAGCCCTTCCAAAATACCAGAATTGCATTAATTTTGTAGTTGTCACCACCTCCTACTTCACTAAGTGTTTGAAAGATTTGAAAAGCTAAATTTTCTAACACCCACCCACGTTTCTCGGGTTGCTTAGAATCTTTAAATGATCCAATTTTAGTATAAATTTCAAAACGAAGTTGTATCAAACCCAGATACAAAACTAATTTAATCCAGTAGAACCGTCCAAGGCATTCTACTAGAGACGTGGAAGGATTAATATAATGTAAACTCTGATTATGATTTTTTCCAAGTCAATGGATTAGCCCTAGAAGAATGTTCAAATAATCAACCCTGATATCAACATCATTGCTAATATTCTTAAAAAACCAAAGCAGCATACGAAATAGTTTCGTGCGAAAGTAGTATTGGAAAACAATCAATAACTGGAAATAGTACAAAGTAAAAAGAATGTAATCCAACCATGTGTCCAATAAGATCATTAGAAAGAGATCTAGAGGACGAGTAAATTGGAAGCTGAAATAGCATTACTTTTGCAAACGAAGAAATTGCCACAAAACATTAATTATGGTTCTGGGACAGAGTGCGTTTGCTTGTTTTTATGCTTTCAATATTTCTGAAAACCAACCATTCATTATCAAAAACTAAAGCATAATTCATAAAAAAATCATAAGAAATGAATGATGTAAAAGTAAAACAAAAGAAAACGAAAACATAATTGTATTGGGCAATCGGGATGATATGTGCCAGTAGGATAAGGGCCTGAAAAATCAAGGGGAAGAATCAGAGTCAGGCGAGTGATACTGGGCTATTTCTTTTTCGCAAGTTTTTGTAATTAAAATTGACTGGATCGTTGAGGTTCGATTCCAGNTATTGACTGGATCGTTAAGGTTCGATTCCAGCCAAGAAGCTGACCTGCTTTTTTCCCGAATCCAAAACAATACCAAAGAGAAAAAGGAAGAATAAAAAGACTACCGAGAGAAAATTAGTAATGCA